TTTGATGCGACGTCATCGACAACGTCTTGACAACACATATTGCTGTGTGACGTCAGAGGAGTGAAATAACCGCGTTTATTTCACATGTGAAAAGTAAAACAACAAAAATATCGAACTCTGAGGAAAATTTAAAACGGAAGTCCATAATCCAATGGCAAAATCAAAAGCTTAAAACTCATCAAACGAATTGATGACAACTGTCATATTCCTGACTTGGTACAGGCATTTTCTTGTGTATACAGTGGTGGTTTTTTATTTCACTGGGAAATCACGGTTATTCATTGCAACCAATGTAATTATATTCATAATCACTTGTTTTTGTCAAAAGGCATGTTGTAATAAGGTTCTAAAAGGGGTAATTGTTAACTGAATTATTTAAATTTAGGTCTGTTTAAAATTTTAGGTAGAGGAAACCTATAGCCGAATAGTGTTTGTGCCAATGACGTCAAAATTAGGTTGTAACGTCCCAAGAATGGCACTACACATTTTCGGGGAAAACACATAGATTTTGGACATATTTCAATAGTTTGTGGACCTGCACATATACAGCGCATGTAGGTTTTGATTAAATGTTTTGCCTAAAGGGTTGTCCATATAAACAACACGTTACATGTTAACACCTGTGTGGAACTTGCATGTGGTTAATATTTTCTACTACTGTGGATTCATTATTATTCGTGGGATACCAATTTTCGTTGATTTCGTGGTTACAGGTGAACCATGAATTTAAAGGTTCAACGAAATACAAATTTTCTATAGGCTTGTATGAAGACGTTGGTTAAACCACGATATTAAATATCCACGAAAATACAAACTTTCCTCAATCCACGAAAATTAGTACCCATGAAAATTAATGAATCCACAGTATCAAACATATGTAAGAGTACAGTACCTTAGGCGTTACTATTTGAGTGATCTGTAAGCGGTCATCGATCAGTCACCGATCAGTCAAGTTCGAGTCAAACTCACTTATAGTATAAATCTTTGACTGATCGGACGGATCTTACGGATTGACCTTTCTGACGGATTGAAATCTACTACGTCACATGTTGATCTCGTACTATTATGGGATCTTAGTTTCGTTTCATTTAAATAAAATGGCGCCACGGAAAAATACGAATCGTTCAAGAACAGAAGATTGACATTTCATTATTAATCATTCAGCAAAATTTTAAGAATTGAAATTGTGATTTGTTAAAAGAGAAGAGAAATATGCAGACAAAATTAGCTTTGCATATTATAAAACATGTTAAAGAATTGTGATTGTCATTTATTTTTAGGTTTTTTTTTTATCAAACCCGAAGTTTTTCGCGGTTGGTGAATACATTTTCCGAAATTGCTCTGAAAATGAAATTAGATTATTTATTGCAAATTTCGGTGAATTATTTTCAATAAAACAAAGAAATATGCAAGTGGGACACTCTGAAACAATGCAAACAAAATATAAGGTATATTTTCCTTTCAATCATCGTATTTTTTTTTGGGGAAACAACCCAACAAAAAATAATTATATCCAATGATGGTTTTTGTTAAATTAAATTTTAATGAAATGTAAAAAAAATTTGCACCGTTATTCAACACAAACAAAAGCTTAAGTATCGGTATATGATTCACATTGTATACAAAATTACTTATCTAATGTGATTTATACTGACTGATTGCAAAAAAAATGCATTGTTATGGATAAAAAGAATAAATATTGGCATATTTAAACAATACAAACACAATTTTAGAATCTTTTTTCTGATACTGACCATTATTTGTAAAAAAAACCAACACCATCCTGATGTACATAAAGTGCTAAATTCTGATAGCGGTTCATGATTTCCATTAAAATAAAGAAATAATAACATTCGTATTCAACACTAACAAAAGTTTAAATATCGTTATCCTTATATTATTCACATCTTATACAAAATTACTTATCAAAAGGAATTTGTAATGACTAATCGCAAATATCCTTGCATTATTTCTGATATAAAAGAAAAAATATTTGAATTTTTAAGCAATGCGAACAAATTTTGTGTATCTTTTCCCTGAAATTCGTCATTTTTTACGAAAAACACCCAATCCTGATTTACAAAAAGTACTTAAATCAAATGGGGGTTCATAATTTCTATCAAAATAAAGAAATTATTTTACTCCTATTCAAATCAAACAAATTTTGAAGTATTTTTATCTCATATTATTATTTGTAAAAAACAACCAATCCTGATGTACAAACAGTACTAAATATCAATGGCGATTCATGATTTCCATTAAAATAAAGAAATTATATCACTCTTAAAGACAAGACTCATGGGGCCGATACTAACCGACAAATCACGCAAATGTCACATTCAACCAATACATAAATTATTGTGTTCTCGATTTAACAAGCAATCATTACAACTCCAACGAATTTTGAATACAACGTCATAAGTCATATCGACAGGAAGCAGGACTATAACAATGATAACTAATGTTTAATAACCTCTGTATCTATGAAAAAATTTGTCAAGGATTAGTTACAGCTAGGAAAAATGAAATCTTGCAGTCAAGAATGCTTGATTTAGTCTATTTGTTTAAACTCTATACTAGTTGCTGTTTACCTGTACACATTACAATTATACTAAATTGTCTGAAAAGCTTCTGTACAGTACTGAATTGACTGCATGCAGATTGTTTAAAAATTCTAAGGCATTGACCATAAAACTGCATTAGAGATTCGAAAGATATATACCAAAGGGACATTCAATACCATAAGTCGAAAATAAACGTCATGGCTAAGAAAGAACAAAAACAAACAAACAAACAACAATACACAAAACACAACATAGGAAACTAAATACTGAGCAGCACGAATCCCACCAAAAACTGGTGGTGATATTAAAACGATAGTCACGTCTATCATAAGTCAGTGTTTGAACTCGTCCTGTTTTGTCTATATCAAGTAAAAGATTCAAACAACCTTATAGTCTTGTTGATAAATCAAATATCAAGTTCCAAGGCATATATAGGCAACAGTAGTCATAAATCGATTAAGCGAAAACAAATCCGGGTCACAAACCAAAACTGAGGGAAACAAATCAACTATAAGAGGAAAACAACGGAACAACAGAAACACTGAAGATAGAACTGAAATAAGGGTAGCTAAATTTATTGAAGGTTTTTTTTTCTGTTAAACAAAATTGCACCAAAGACTTTTTTTCGGAAATAAACACAAGTAGCTTGTATCTACAACTATATCATGTATATAGAGTGAGAAGATTTCCACAAATTGTTGTTGTTTTCAATTGTTCTTCATCTTCGTTTTTTATTTGTCCTTTGTACTGTTTTGATTCTTGCGACGCTGATGATTATAAGCCTGGTAGATTTAATGGCTATTCTTTGTATTTAATTCAACATAAAGACATGCTGTTAATTCTCGAGAAATGATACACAGAATAAGAGGTGATATATTCACAAATCACAAAAAAATAAATGTGTACCTATGTGAAAAAGTATTAACAAAAATACCGAATATCAAGGAAATTAAAAAAAAGGGGAGTTCATAAAAACTAACAAAATCAACTGTTAAACTATATCAACCATTTGAACGAATGGAAAACAACTGTCATATTCCTGACTTGGTATAGGCATTTTCCGAAAGAAATGGTGAGTAAAACCTGGCTTGATAGATAGTTAAACCTCTCGCTCAACATGTGTTTGTGCGTTATTGTGTGCGTGTATGTTGATACGTGTTCACGTTGGTTATGTTATCTTCAACCTATTACTTCATTTGTTGAAATGCAACCGTTGAACTACTACATGTCATAAGTTACGCGTTTTTACATCCAAAATGAGGTCATTTGGGGACACATTAAGTCTGTCCGTAAAAATATTACGTATTAAAATTGAGAATGGAAATGGCGAATGTGTCAAAGAGACAATAACCCGACCAAAGAGCAGAAAACAGCCGAAGTCCACCAATAGGCCTCCATACAGCAAGAAAATCCAGCACCCGGAGGCGTGCTTCAGCTGGCCCCTAAACAAAAATGTGTACTAGTTCACTGATAATGGACGTAATACTAAACTCCGGTACATAAATGAACTGAAATTAAACCTAAACACAATGCCATTTTTAGAAGTCTGGACTAGAGTCCTGTAGCAGATTCCTGAAGTGTGAATATTGTTTGAATTGGATTGAATTGAATTTGTACTTGGAATTTGGTGCCTAGAATTGCAAAAGCTGTTGTACTATCTTGTCATCACAGGTCACCACAATGATAATGCAAATCAGATATGTTGCTGCCGTATCCTTTTAATCACAACAAATACAGACTCGAGAGGATTTGGAGGCTACTAAATGATGCTTTGCAATATTTAAAGACGTATGATGATTAACGATTGCTGTTTTTGGTTGTCTTTGTTGCTGTCTCATTGATGTTAATGTTTGTGCCTGTGTTGACATTAACAGCATATTCGTGTAATCGTCCTTTCGATATCCAAGTTCTATCTTCTAGAGTTACTTCACTTATGACGACAGTTTACTGTGATCTCTTTGATAATTTTGATCAGTTACATATATTTAAAAGCAATTTATGCCATTTTGTTTTTAATTCCCACTGTTTAATTTCGCAATACTAAGGTTTTTCTTCAATAAGAATAGATTATAATTATCCTAGCTGTATTTTGCAGAATTTTTAGGAATTTTGGGTCTTCAATGCTCTTCAACTTCGTATTTTATTAATTCTTTTTAACTTTTTTTTATTCGAACGTCACTGATAAGTCTTTAGACGAAACGCGCGTCTGGAGTACAAAATTTCAGTCCTTGTATCTTTGATGAGTTTTTTTTCAACTAGATTTACGGCGTGTTGGGGTTTCAATACCAAAAAAAAAACATTTACAGTAGAGTCGTATCGTTCTAGTATCAATTTTGTGCTTGTAAAATCCGTTTATCACCTTCAATTTTAAAATACGTTTACCCATTCCTGAAAGTGATTATCAGTGTAACGCATATAAATTTAAGAAAACAGTGCTTAAAATGAATATATAGATTTTAATTTAATTTTTTCGAATATTCATTTTTTCAAATCCTATTTTTAAAGGATGATAATTCTTCGGTTCTGTTGGATTGCTATGATTGGTCAAAAATGGGATAGCTGACCTCACTAGCCCCTTATGCAGGTTGTGTTAACGCAGCAAAGACCATGAGGACAGCTACAGCACGGAGAGCCAGGAGAGCATTGTATTTTATGACACCCGTATCTTTTTACAAGCCTGAAACAAAACAATTCGATGAAAGATCTATAATCACATATTTCGTTTATTGGTGACATCAGTCTATAGCTGTGCAAATTACTTGAGGTATGCATCATATTACAGTGTTTGGTAGAGTAACGTGTAATGTGCAAGTGATGATAACAATGTCTACTACTTAATTCGAATAACTATCAACGTGTTAGAGTTTACATACTTATGGAGGCGTATATTATTTAGTTGTAAAGACACCTACATGTACATATGTGATTTGACTTAACTTCTTCAGGAACGCTGAAACCAAACTATCTGAAAGTCTGAATACCAAAATACACAAAAAGCGATATGTTGAAAAGTGACCTGACAATAACAGCAGATCTGTCTCACAAATGTATTCTTACTTAACGGATTTAGAAATATCTTCATAATTTCTAATTGATAAACATTTTAATAGTCAAAGTAATTGATTGATGCATTGTTTAACGGTCAGTTTTGAAAAGGTATATTATAAATCTTGTTAGTACAAAATCACTGATTACTCAGCTGATGACACCATATGGAACTAATAGTCAACCAGCAACGATGTCAACGAAGTGTTATGATAATAACATTTTACATATCTAATGTGTCAACCCATTGAAAACTTAACAGACGCCATCGAAAATTGGTTGACTATAACAAAATATCTGTTTCACAGATGTTGACGCATATATTCGTAACTACTATCCCTTCTGCTTTTTTCCGACTGTAACATTTTCGAATTAGATGTATCACTGGATTAGTACTAGCACGAGAAATACGACGTTTGTTACATGTATATCAGGATCTGCTATCCACACCTTTGATAAACCCGGATTTCTGCTGGGGTTTGTGTTGTCTTTAGTTTCTTTGTGGTGTGGTGTATACTATTTTTGTCGTTTGGTGTCCAGTTTTGGTTTTTTTTTTACCTTGGTTTGTCATTCCCTTAAGAGTTTGTATATGTGTATAAGGAATCTGATGTTCAGTAGTTGTCGTTTGTTGATGTGGTTCATAAGTGTTTCTCGTTTCTCGTTTTTTATATAGATTAGACCGTTGGTTTTCCCGTTTGAATGGTTTTACACTAGTAATTTTTTGGGGCCCTTTATAGCTTACTGTTCGGTGTGAGACAAGGCTCCGTGTTGAAGACACTACTGTGACCTATAATGGTTTACTTTTATAAATTTTTACTTGGATGGAGAGTTGTCTCATTGACACTCATACCACATCTTCTTATATCTATATACATTTGATATCTATCACCACTTTTTTTTACCAATATTTATTGCAGTTATCCTTATGGTGTGTGCCTATCGAACTACGAACTTCCAATAGATCAGAAACACCTAATATAATCTCCAGTTTTAGTGGAGCTCGTTTTCCTCATGAATACATTTTTGGAGTTGTTGTTTGTGCTTTTGCCTTTTCTTTTACCATTGTGGTATATGTCTTTCTTATAGTTGTGGTCTGTATGACCACTTGCTATCTGTTTCTCTTTTTTACATCATGTTTTCTTTTTCATACGCAAAATTGCTATCCCAAGGTTAATTCTGGCAATTTTAAAAATTAATTTTACGCTGCAACATGTGAAAGAGATATTCCAAAAGTACGTAAGCGTTGCATTTCTGATTACCAAATTAAGAGCAGGATCTGATTCTTATTAATTTGAAATATTTTTTCAGATTATAATTGATCACGCCTTTTATATTGTTAAGAAAGATGTTGTAATTTACAATAAAACTAAAACATTACATATGTTACTTTTATCATTACGACTTACTTAGATATTTAACTCGACTGAACTTACTTATGAATGAGGCTATTGTCTTCAAGCATTTTTCCATCCGCCATGTTGACTGGAAGTAAATATTCGTTATTTTTAAATAACGTTACCGGGTGATTCATATTCAATTCATATACGGAATAACAATAATAGTATGCATGAACGTGAGCTGCCTTTAAAAAAGTTAAGATTAGATTTAAAAAAATTAACTTTTACATATTAATATTCAAATTGATATTGCATATTGATCTTTTTCTATTGTTAGAAATTCAATTACCATTGAAAAATAACTTTATTGAAATTGACGAAGATAACAAAAACTACAAATATGATATTTAGGCTTTCATATCAGAGAAACACATGATGTTTACCTTTTAATTAACGGTTAAAACAGGATAACACAAAACTAGAAACGTTATTACAGTCAAAAGGACAAATCAAAGAATGTCACTAGCTATTCGCTTGCAAGCATTTGTTTTCTTAATGTTTATAAAGAACTATCTAAGAGAGAATTGCAGTTGAAAATAATAATCAGAATTTAAATCTAAAAGAAGTTCTTATGTTTACTTACCTACTATGGAAAATAACAATAGACAGACGAAAAAACAAATAGAAACCTTCATTTTTTTATTAGTTCTCTATAACAAATAAACAAATCTTGATTATATATTTTGTAAGATGATTTGTATAAAAAAACAAGATGACAATTGCAAACGACTATATGTAGTAATACTAAAGATCTTCGTACATGTATGCGTACAATTAAATACTTCTGTGTCTTTAATGTGGTTTCTGAAACTTAATCGCGACTATATGTCTTTTCTTTTTTTTTCGCAAGACGTTTACTTTGCTTTATTCATTATGTCCTGATAGTTTGAATAGCAGATTTTGGTAACCTTAAAACTACCTGAATTCCTTCAAATCAAATCACTCTTAATATCATTTGTATACTAGTTCACTAGTTCTGCCTGTTGGAGGACTGCTTTTCATAGTTTTTATTGCATGATACCAGTACATTGATAAAGGAAGGCGAAATAATAGTTAGATAAGCTTGACGGGCAAATAGGAAAATGTTGTTTTATCTTTCATAAGCAATTGTGATAATGTCAAATGTCGATATTTTCGCAGACGGACAAAGCTAAAGAGCATATTATCCGACAAGAACTAGTACTGAGTGCCAAATCACTAAGACAAATGTAGTTCTATTTAACTTTTACTTTAGCAAATTTGATGTGAATCTTGCTTTGTTTAATACAATACTACAACATTTACTTTGTTATCGCTTAAAATTTTCTAAATATGCATTTAATTTTATACTTAATATGACTTAAAGTGTACTTACATGACAAAATACCGTCAGTGTTCGAAAGGCTTTAAAATACTGTGCTATTATCCTGCTTTTATAAACGACTATGACGCAATGAAATTTTACATCGGCAACAAACATTTACTGAAGTATCCTGTTTGGCGGCTGTAGGTTCTTTCAAGGTTAATGTCCTAATACACGATTCATAAATTTCAATTATTAGAATATGCACGTTTCCTTCTGTATATAATCTTGTTTGTTTACAAAAACAACCTTAACAATAAATTAATGTTATGTAATATGTCAAGATATGATTTATAACTACATAAATAATGAAATCATCAAAGGTAAAACTTATTTTCAACTGTAATTATTTTGTGCCTATTTATCACTGATATTCATGACAATGGTTTGCTAAGAAGGGGATAAGAAACATACAACGGTATGGACATAGAGGCGATAATCTATCTTTTAAGGTGGTCACTGTTTCTGTAATATTTGAAATGAATATAAATACGTAGCACAAATGAGTGCTTATCGCTGTTATTCAGCATCAAACATACCAGCAAAAGATAATAGAAATGGGTCAAAACAAAGAATATATTAAATACTATGATTGAAAAGTAAGTTACAGGTTTTGAATCATGTGTTAATACACATGTAAATTACACAATTGTAGCCTTTTAAGACTACATGTGTATCGGCCTATGAACGTATACTGACTTCAAACTGCATTATCAGTCAATATACTTACAACGGGGTAATAAAATAGCTGTCGACATCATCAAACTCTGTTCAGTATAACTTGGTCTAATTGTTTACTGAAATCTCACTTTTTTATTCAATATTTCAATTCAGGTTTGTTTAAATTGTCAGGTACTGGAAACCTTTAAACGAGTAGTTTTTTGTTCCAATGACTTCAAAATTAAGATGTGATATCACGAGATGGGCACTTCTTCATATTTTTGTGAAAAGTGTATAGATTTTGGACATATTTACATAGATAGTGGACCTACTTATTTTGAGCGCATGTAATTGCCAATTCAATAATTTATGACACTCTGTGTCTATATAAACAGCACATTGTGTGGTACAAGCATGTGCTGAATACTTCTCATATATATATATACATATATACTTCCGAGTTTAGTTCCAAAATTATCACTGGGTTACAAACCATACACAATGACGGTCACATAGATGAGGATACATTCGGATATCTAAAACCAGAGAACGCTAAGCCTGGTCGATTGTATCTTCTCCCCAAAATACACAAGGTTAACAACCCTGGTAGACCCATTGTATCCGCAAACGGCAACCCGACTGAGAAAATCTCGGAATTCGTAGACTTTCATTTAAGATCTCATGTAGAAAATCTTCCTACTCACATTCAAGACACCACAGACTTCCTTCGTAAAATGGAATCCATGAACCCTCTTTCTTCGGAAACTCTCTTTGTCACTCTAGATGTCACCTCATTGTATACCAACATACCTCATGATGACGGAATACAATCGTGTAAGGAAATGTGGGACTTGCGCAACACTTTAGAACCACCTACCGAATGTTTAGTCCAGCTGCTTACTCTGGTTCTGAAATGCGACAATTTCACCTTTAATGGTGAACATTACCGTCAGATAAACGGGACAGCGATGGGGACGAACATGGCACCGTCTTACGCCAATATTTTCATGGGCAAATTAGAGAAACAAATCATTTAAACATCTTTATCCAAACCTCTGTTTTGGTTCCGTTTCATTGATGATGTTGACATGAAATGGATTGAATCCCAACTTAAACTAGATGATTTCATCAGACATGCAAACAACGCCCACCAGTTAATTAAATTTACATATGAAATTTTCTACTCTAAAATATTTTTCTTAGACACAACTACATCTATAAAGGACGGTGTCATATCAACAGACCTCTACTGTTAACCTACAGATAAACAGCAGTACCTTTCTCCCCAAAGCTGTCACCCCAAACACTGTACAAAAAGTATCCCCTATAGTCAAGCTCTCAGAGTAAAGCGGATTTGCTCCTCTGAGGAAGCTGTCACTAAACGGTTACAGGAACTTCGCGGATTTTCGACCAAATAAGGTTATAAGAAACGGGACAAAGATGAGGGATTTGCACGTGCTAACAATAACAGCCGCGTTGACCTATTACAATACGAACAGAAGAGGCGCAGCAAAGTAGTTCCATTTGTTTTAACATACAATCCCGCCTTTACTAACCTTTCACGTTTGATCCATACCAATTGGCAAACTATTGCCAAGCACCCTAAGTTATCCAAGATCTTTCCCAAACCTCCTGTCCTTGCTTTTCCGAGACCAGCAAGTCTCAAAGACTTATTTGTAAGAGCTGATGTCTCCTCTAATAAAAGCTGTTCAACTGCAGGATGGTGCAAGTCGTGTGGTAACAGACATGTCTGACTTGCCAACAAATACTGAATACTCAAACATTTACTTGCCACTCCACCGGGTCTGTGTACACTATATTATGCAATGTAACTTGCAAAACCCAGAATGTTCTATACCTTCTTCAGTGTCGATGTGGCATGCAGTATGTTGGCGAGACAGAACAGCCATTCAACAAACGCATGAATGGTCATCGAAGTGACTACACCTGCAAGCCCGACCTCCCCATAAGTGGTCATCTGAGATCACCTGGGCACGCCCAAGCTGATCTCAAAAACCTTACCATCACTATCATAGACCACAACGAGGGTTGGTCAAGGGCCGACAAACTTTCTCGGGAAAGGTTTTGGATAAGAAAGCTTAGGACAGTTTCCCTAGAGGGCATACATGAAAAAACATAGAATGTGCCACTCATTTTCACTACCATCACTTGTTTCCAGTAACTTAGGCTTCCGTTTTGGACTCTTACAGTTTTAAGAAATTTATTCCTCCTCCCGAACATGAACATGAAAAAAAATGACCAGCGTATTGATTATTGATACTTTGTATAGCATTCAAGATTTTTATTTCAGTTTGACTACCACATGTCAAGATAAGATTCATTTTACATCTTACTGATGAAGGATATTAGCTATCCGAAATATGTAAAATTTGTTCATGATTTAATTATTTTTTTGGTGATGTTGTACCCTTTTAGACTTGTTATATATTATATTTTGTAGTGTACTGTATCATAATTTTATGATCCATCGCCCGTAAGATTTATAATTGGCTATTATTCAGGCATTTTATATATAAATCTGTTGTAGAGTTGTCACTGGTTCAGACGTACTTATAAATATAATTATTTCTGTGACTGTATCTTGCATGCATTTGTATGATCCGTTACAATATATATTTCAGCTGATCTGTAACAATTCCATCTTCATGCCTTATATATCATGTAATGTATTGCGACGCTAGATTAAAACTGACGAGGAAAGGTAACACCCGGCCACCGAAAGATTTATTATTGTGAAGCCTAGGTGGTCGTGTGTTCTAGCGCGTCGGATGCAGTGCAGGCGATATCTCAGTAGCATGAATTCCAATCCCGGCAAGGGAAGAACAAAAAATTTGCGAAAGTAAATTTACAGATCTAACATTGTTGGGCTGATGTTTAGACGAGTTGTATATATATATATATATATATATATACAATTATTGAAATTTTTTTGGTAGAAAATTTGAAATTTTGCTATATTTTGCTATATTAATATATGTTTACATACTTAACGATCATTTTTAACCTAAATCTCTTACTTTTGTAATAGTTCATTTTTAATAGGCCGAAAAGAGCCCTTAGCGCATCTTCTATTTTAATCAATTGATTGTAAATTAAATCATTTCTTTTGTAATTCCAATCAACTTTTGTAGCAGAGTCTGTGAACACCTAAATTCATCAGAACAATACTCAGTATGAACAACAATTAATTAATAAACAATGTGCTGTAGACCAAACCACCACTCATTACCACAACTACTGGTTTAAAGTATATACGCTTTCAGTGATAAGACTCATTAGACCAATACTACCTAGCAAATGACACAAAACCACCCAATAAATAAATCATTGTATTCCCGATTAAATAAGCAATCAGTACAACTGCCAAAGATTCTGAATAAAGACGCCCTCAGTAGTTTTTGCAAAAGGTATAACCTAATGCAAAGCCAGAATATACGTATCGATAAGATGCAGGATCATAATATTAATAACTAAATAGCAATATATGTTTATTAACTTATATCTTTGAAACAATTCAGTCAAAGTTTTAAATGGTTTATGTTTATTGTAATTTTATCCTTAACATTATAATATATCAGTTATTCATATATTACGTTCATTTATATTGACAATAAGAAACGATTATAATATTCTGATAACTCCGAAACAGTGGTAACTTCCTCCTTGTATTCGGTTTTTATGATCCTAGATTGATACTGATATCTTGCTCTCGCATTCAAATACAATTCGTCTCCAAGTACGGCAGGTTTGACAAGATATCACCTTTTTAAAACAATATTATTTGTTTGTCGCTTTTGTTTTTCTGATGGTTTACAAATAAAGATAACTGTTATTTCTGATGGTTTACAAATAAAGATAACTGTTTTTCTAAGTAATTCAGAAATATGTTGAACTTGATCAACAGCATCATGTGTATTATTGTAAGATACGTCTATTGAAGGAACGAGCTATATACATTTAATGAACATATTTATCACGGTTCGTGCCGGCAAAAAAAACAGTACGAATACAAACAATATATTTATCAAGATAGTCATCTGAATACAGATAGCAGAGTGTATAATCATATGATAAAATCAAATATGAAAATAGTAAAAATGAGGCCATCTTTTTTCAATTGAGCCAGGTTAAACAATGTATGTAGCGACGACAGATAATACATCTTCTTAGAAAAAGGGATGTGGAGTTAGTGGCAATTACACACTGGCACAATAACTCATCTTGTGTGTGTGTACTGTTGTTTGTTTGTTAGTCTTTTTCAATTTTAGCTATGGCGTTGTCATAGAAAACTAAAGACTTAGCAACACGAACCTTACCAAAAACTGGGGTTGATTTCTGGTGCTCCGGAAGAGTAAGCAGACCCTGCTCTACATGTGGCACCCTTTGTTCATGTAAGTACGTCACATTCGGGGAAAAGTAGACGGGATTGTCGGTACGACAATTGGAATATATCCTTCGTCATCCGTAACACAGATATTCCATAATGATCAACCAACTCGTGATGGCGGCCGTAAAAATACGAAGGGATGAT